CCTGCATTACTACTTAATGCAATACCTGCTGACATTTGACAGAAGCGAAGCTGTGTGTGGTCCAGCTGAAGAGAAAAAGTTGTTCCAACTAACCTGATGCAGGACCAAAGCGCAGTACCCTGGTGGCCCCGGAAGCGATGATGCCAAACACCTTCATATTACTGAATGTCACAGGACAGACATGTTGCTTCCAATCCACCATTTTGACTTTCTTTACGTGTTTTCGTGGCATTTGTCTTTTAGTGTGGCTTGGTATTGTTACATGCTAAATTCATTTAGGCTCAAAATAACTTTTAAGTGTTTTACACTTTCTTATTATACTATTTAATCTAAATTACACTTTGTGTTTATTCCATTAACTTGGATAATCTCGGATCATTCTGTCTTCAGGTTCAATTTATGATTGCTCATGGTATCAGTTGTCTTGGTAAAGAATCTTTAACACATCCTCACCCACATTGCCTTAAGTATGCGCATATTTGTACTATTGATTTGATGTGTGATTTTTGTACGCCCTTTCAAGCTTTCACAGGTATCAGGAGGTCTCATGTCTTGCTCAGCAGGCCCAGTGGCATTCCAGGAGATTGTCAGAAGGTGATCTGTTCTCAATATCCTGTATGGCCAACATTAGAGTCTAGAACTGACTGGCATCGTCTTCCCATGGAAACAATCAGATCCCGAATTGTGGCCTGGGGAATGTTCACATGCAAATGAAAACCCAACGTGTTTATAGCCCAACAAGTGATGTTGCATGTGCATGTCATGCTGCTGTGTTTCGGCGATTGTGTTTGTTGTTTGTCGCCAGTCTGCAATATTCCAGCTGTACGATGGTGGCTTTATGGGGAAATCTGTCTCCACGCAGATCGTAGACATCTACCGTTTCCATGAATCCCATGATTATGAGTGTGGCGCTGTCAAATTAAGGATCACTATCTGAATAGAATCGTGTAATTGAATCATCCAAGCATGGATATTATCCCAAACTTGATTTTTAAATGATGCCCTTTGTGCCAACTGGCAATGAATTTGACTGCATTACAATACCATTTGTATCCAGAGGTTACACAATTTTGTTGAAAATTACAATAATTTAATAGGTACAGCAAAACCCTATTGTTATCCCCTGCCACAAAGTGCCATATTTCTTCACCAAACTTGGCACATAATGTCATCTCACAGCATTGAATACATTTCCTTTCTTGTTGGTAAGTTCTGGATTGCTTGAGTGTAGGTTACTCCAAAAGTGTCATGGACACAGTTGTTGCATTCACTGACTAATTTCATGCAGAAACACAACGCATTACAAATACAACAGTGTAATTGATCTTAAACCTAATCAACTGTATATATTCTTGTCAACCATACTCTGTACTTCACTTGCTTGATAACGGTGTTAGAACCTACACAGAAACCATCGCTCCTAATTGTAATAAAGAAGTTGTTCGTCCATATGTCTCATCCTTTATCATTACAAATATAGTTACATATTCTATCATAAACTGCCAGTAATAACTTTTCTTAGTGCTGCAATTAGGCCATTTACAAAAAGGCCCAGTGAACATAGTTCACAGGAGCTAATGCATTGCACACAACCGGACATGTCATATTGGTGGGGGATATGAGTATTTCATGCTTGTTTTGGATGCAACATTCACAAAAACCATTTTTGTCTGTATCAATCAATACCTGGATTAACGAATTAGTGGTAATGAGTAAGGTATCCGTGCCCTACATGACAATGACAGCCATTAGGTATCCATGCCCCACATGACAATGGAAGTCATGAGTAAGGTATCCGTGCCCGACATGACAATGGAAGTCCTGAGGAAGGTATCCGTGCCCCACATGACAATGGAAGTCCTGAGTAAGGTATCCGTGCCCGACATGACAATGGAAGTCCTGAGGAAGGTATCCGTGCCCCACATGACAATGGAAGTCCTGAGGAAGGTATCCGTGCCCCACATGACAATGGAAGTCCTGAGTAAGGTATCCTTGCCCCACATGACAATGGAAGTCTTGAGTAAGGTATCCGTGCCCCACATGACAATAGAAGTCCTGAGTAAGGTATCCATGCCCCACATGACAATGGAAGTCATGAGTAAGGTATCCGTGCCCCACATGACAATGGAAGTCATGAGTAAGGTATCCGTGCCCCACATGACAATGGAAGTCATGAGTAAGGAATCCGTGCCCCACATGACAATGGAAGTCATGAGTAAGGTATCCTTGCCCCTCATGACAATGGAAGTCATGAGTAAGATATCTGTGCCCCACATGACAATAGAAGTCATGAGTAAGGTATCCGTGCCCCACATGACAATGAAAGTCATGAGTAAGGTATCCGTGCCCCACATGACAATGGAAGTCATGAGTAAGATATCCGTGCCCCACATGACAATGAAAGTCATGAGTAAGGTATCCGTGCCCCACATGACAATGGAAGTCATGAGTAAGTTATCCGTGCCCCACATGACAATGGAAGTCATGAGTAAGGTATCCATGCCCCAAATGACAATGAAAGTCATGAGTAAGGTATCCGTGCCCCACATGACAATGGAAGTCATGAGTAAGGTATCCGTGCCCCACATGACAATGGAAGTCATGAGTAAGGTATCCGTGCCCCACATGACAATGGAAGTCATGAGTTAGGTATCCGTGCCCCACATGACAATGGAAGTCATGAGTAAGGTATCCGTGCCCCACATGACATTGGAAGTCATGAGTAAGGTATCCGTGCCCCACATGACAATGGAAGTAATGAGTAAGGTATCCGTGCCCCACATGACAATGGAAGTCATGAGTAAGGTATCCGTGCCCACATGACAATGGAAGTCATGAGTAAGGTGCCCCACATGACAATGGAAGTCATGAGTAAGGTATCCGTGCCCCACATGACAATGGAAGTCATGAGTAAGGTATCCGTGCCCCACATGACAATGGAAGTCATGAGTAAGGTATCCGTGCCCCACATGACAATGGAAGTAATGAGTAAGGTATCCGTGCCCCACATGACAATGGAAGTCATGAGTAAGGTATCCGTGCCCCACATGACAATGGAAGTCATGAGTAAGGTATCCGTGCCCCACATGACAATGGAAGTCATGAGTAAGGTATCCGTGCCCCACATGACAATGGAAGTCATGAGTAAGGTATCCGTGCCCCACATGACAATGGAAGTCATGAGTAAGGTGCCCCACATGACAATGGAAGTCATGAGTAAGGTATCCGTGCCCCACATGACAATGGAAGTCATGAGTAAGGTATCCGTGCCCCACATGACAATGGAAGTCATGAGTAAGGTATCCGTGCCCCACATGACAATGGAAGTCATGAGTAAGGTGCCCCACATGACAATGGAAGTCATGAGTAAGGTATCCGTGCCCCACATGACAATGGAAGTAATGAGTAAGGTATCCGTGCCCCACATGACAATGGAAGTCATGAGTAAGGTATCCCTGCCCCACATGACTAAAACTACATTCGGTGTAATATCCATTTCGGCATTAAGGGGCTAAAACAAGGACTGGTCCGCTCGGAGTCAGTATACTGTGTCTGAGTGGGGTATTCATGTTAAACTGCGGCATGGTATCTCAGTATGCTAGCACTATAAATCGGCATCAGTCTGGACTAGTACAAGCAACCACATGCACGTGCATGCACGTCGCTATATATGTGTGTGGGAGTGGAGGTCGTGAAGATGGATTATAAATATATAATTTAGGGTTGTTTTATATATTGTGAACAGATATACTTGGTATAATTAAATATTTGTGTGAGTATTTGGTTTCTAAGCTACCCCTACACAAACACCTCTGTGTGATGTCAGATCTTAAATGTGAACGAGCTTTGAATATCAAAACTTGTTTGTTGTTAAACTAAGCAATATTCCGCCTATATGACGGCTGCTCGTATATAATCGAGACATCACCAGGTGAACCAGTAACTAACATTGTAAGCAACGATCCACGCGGTCGAGGTACGATGGCACGGGTCAACCAAGTTACAAACAAGTGTGACCAACCCATCCATTAAGCCACCTCGTATGACAAGCATTGCGCTACTTGGGAATCCTCACGGGGTTTGAATAGTAGTAGTAGTAGTAGTAGTTTGAATATCAACGTAGTCTCACTATGTTGTTGATATGTGTTTAGAAATACTTTAATACATCTCTTAGACATGGTGGATATGGCATTCCTTCATAATTTTATTGTAATTAATTCAAATAAAATGTGTGTCCTATTTGTGAACGCCGTCCATGATATGCATAGACAGATTCAATCATGAAATAAATTCACCCGTGAAGATCCAGGGTAGAATAGGTCTTCAGCAACCCATGCTTGTCGTAAAAGGCGACTATGCTTGTCGTAATAGGCGACTAACGGGATCAAGTGGTCAGGCTCGCTGGTTGATGGATGTCATCGTATCCCAATTGCGTGGATCGATGCTCATGATGTCAATCACTGGATTGTCTGGTTCAAACTCGATTATTTACAGACCGCCTTCATATAGATGGAATGTTGCTGAGTGCGGCGGTAAACAACAAATAAACAAACATGAAATAAATTAGGTTTAAAAATGTCGTTTCAAGCATTGAAAGGGCAATGTCAAATTGGCTACCTTAACTGGATATGTCAGAGAAATTCATCGCTGAAAATACTTAAAACACCTTCCTCTTGTCAGTTTTCCTCAACTAATTTTAATATCTCATTTAAAAGCAGAGACCATAAAATAGATGGTCTTTGTTAAAAAATAATAATTTACAAATAAAAGATGAACAGGTGAGAATGAATGAGTTGAATGGTTTGCCAAATATACTTTTGTACAAAAGATTATACGAGTATTTATATCAGAGAGGTCAATACTTTTACAACAGGAATAAGCGAGCGCTGCTGTACCGCCAACCATCAATTTTACTATACGATGTGGTAAGAATAAGAGTTATCGTTCTTGTTTAAAGTAGTTGGGTGGCATTCCATTCGTGACCAACTCGTGTTATTCCGGGACAAGCCGAATAGCGTCTTCTTGCAGGTCACGGAAAGGGGCGAGTGATGATGATTGGTGGGGTGGGGGACGAATCTTCATTCGGCTTGTCCCGGAATAACACGAGTTGGTCACGAATGGAATGAACAGAAAGTAGGATTTACCTGTTACGTGGGCAGGCCAGAGGCATTCCATCTGCTCGTTCTTCACGTTTTACCAGGTAAACAATACAAATAGTGCCTTTTTTTGCACAAACAACCTTCATTTACTCACTTTTCTGTTTATTTAATACAGAAACAAATTGAAAGAAAATCTCTACAAAAGGATATTGAAGGATTCACACTTAGAAACAGGCGATGCCACTCTTCATTCTTATACATAAGGATTCTATTTGACAATCTAAAAAACAAATAACACAGTTCACACTGATTTTAGATATAACCAAACATGAATATAGATATACGCCTTTGCTATAACAATACTACAACACTACTGCTACTACTACTACTACTACTACTACTACTACTACTACTACCATTGTCACTACCACTTCTACTATTACTACTACTACCACACTACTGATACTGATACTACTACACACAATTACTACTACTACTACTACTACTACTACTTCTGCTTCTACTATTACTAACACTGCTACTGCTACTACTACTGTTCCTATTACTACTACTGTTGCTGCTGACACTACTACTATTACCACTACTACTACTACTACTACTACTACTACTACTACTATTGCTGCTACTGCTACTACTACTGTTCCTATTACTACTACTGTTGCTGCTGACACTACTACTATTACTACTGGTACCACTGTCACTACCAGTACTACTATTGCTTCTGCTTTTGCTACTACTACTGCTACTACTACTACTACTACTGCTGCTACCACTACTACTATTGCTGCTGTTGCTACTAGTACTAGTACTACTACTGATGCTACTACTACTACTACTACTACTATTACTACTACTAACATTGTCACTACATCTACTACTATTGCTGCTGCTACTACTACTACTACTACTACAGCTACTACAACTATTGTTGCTGCTACTACTACCACTGGTTTGACTACAACTACTGCTACTACTACTACTACTACTACAGCTACTACTACTACTACTATTGCTGCTGCTACTACTACTAGAACCACTACTACTTGCACTACTACCACACTACTGATTGTGCTACTACTGCTGCAACTATTATTACTACTACTACTTTTGCTGCTACCAGTACTAGTACTACTACTGATGCTACTACTACTGCTACCACTACTACCCCACCTCTACTACCACTACTACTATTGCTGCTGCTACAACTACTAACACTACTACTCCTACTACTGTTACTACTGCTATTGCTGCTACTACTACTACTACTGCTACTACTACTGCTACTACTACTACCACTGTGACTACCACTACTAGTATTGCTGCAACTACTACTACTACTGCTACTATTGCTACTACTGCTGCTGCTACTGCTACTACTACTACTACTTCTACTACTACCACTGTCACTACCACTACTACTATTGCTGCTGTTACTACTACTACTACTACTACCACTACTGCTACTACAGCTGCTGCTACTACTACTACTACTACTTCTATTGCTACTACTGCTGCTACTGCTACTACTACTCTTGCTGCTGCTACTACTACTACTGCTACTACTACTACTACTTCTACTACTACCACTGTCACTACCACTACTACTATTGCTGCTGCTACTACTACTACTACCACTACTGCTACTACAGCTGCTGCTACTACTACTACTACTACTATTGCTACTACTGCTTCTGCTACTACTACTATTGCTGCTGCTACTGCTACTACAACTACTACTACTACTGCCGCTGCTTCTACTACTACCACTGTCACTACCACTACTACTATTGCTACTGCTACTACTACTACTACTATTGCTACTAACACTGCCGTTACTATAACTACTGCTACTACTACTCCTACTACTACTACTACAACTACTTTCATTGCTGCTGCTACTACCACCACTACCTCTACCACTACCACTACTACTGTTGCTGCTACTACAACTACTACTACTGCAAATATCACTGCTGTTACTATAACTACTACTACTACTACTTCTACTACTACCACTGCCACTACTACTACTACTACTACTACTACTACTGACACTGCTACTGCTACTACCACCACTACCTCTACCACCACTACTGTTGCTGCTGCTGCTACTACTACTACTACTACCACCACTACCTCTACCACTACTACCACTACTACTGTTGCTGCTGCTGCTGCTACTACTACTACTACTACTACTACTACCACTACCACTACTACTGTTGCTGCTGCTGCTGCTACTACTACTACTTCTACTACTACCACCACTACCTCTACCACCACTACTGTTGCTGCTGCTGCTGCTACTACTACTACTACCACCACTACCTCTACCACTACTACCACTACTACTGTTGCTGCTGCTGCTGCTACTACTACTACTACTACTACTACTACCACTACCTCTACCACCACTACTGTTGCTGCTGCTGCTACTACTACTACTACTACTACCACCACTACCTCTACCACTACTACCACTACTACTGTTGCTTCTGCTGCTGCTACTACTACTACTACTACTACCACCACTACCTCTTCCACTACTACCACTACTACTGTTGCTGCTACTACTACTACTACCACTACCACTACCACTACTACTACCACTACTGCCACTACTACTACTACTACCACTACCACTACTACTACCACTACTGCTACTACTACTACTACTACTGTTACTAGTTCCAGGATAAGCTACATTCGTAGGACAACATCAAGCAAGCCATCAGGAGTTCACTTAAGTGACCTGCTGCCAGAGTGTTATTTAGGTTAGGCCCACATGTTGATGGAATCTCTATTTTAGCCAAGATGGACAGCGTCTTTGGCGATGTGGATGCGACGGAGACACTCCTAGCCAAGTTCTATCCTGCCAAACAGACCGAGACTGAGTCAGTAGCTAGTACAAGTACAACCAGAGCCGCACCTTCAGTGATCTTCCAATCAGCCTCAGAAAAGTAGAACAGGAATTAAAGACACGTGAAGAGCCCCTGTCTACTACTCTTACTTCCACTGTTACTAAGAAGAATCCTATTCCTGGTATGGCCGCTGTCTCCAAGGAAAACAAGGAATTGGCAGAGGTCAAGGGGATGATCAGAAAACAAGCAGCAAGCCTTTCACCCAAGGACAGTTCGGCCAAGGCAGGATGGACAACTGATGCCTATGGACAGCCTACTCCCATCTGCTACCGCTGTGGACAACCTGGACACGTCAGCTGCAAGTGTACAATTAGGATGGACCAGAGCTGGAACCTGTTAAACTGAGGAGGATCCATAATGTGGGACAAGTTATGGATTTCAGTGTACAGGGTCCCAAAGATGATGATATAACTGGATTTGTGGGTACTGCATCAGAAGTGGAAGTTGCCGTTCATGGGGTGAACTCAAAAGCCGTACTGGATACCAGAGCTACAGTTTCAACCATGAGCGAGTCCTTCCATTAAGATCCCCTGTTCCACCTCCCTATACAGCCACTTAAAGGTATCCTGAATGTACAGTGTGCTGATGGTAAGCCACTACCATATTCTGGAGATGTAGAGATACCACTTAGGTAACCGGTATGTCACCAGCTGACCAGCAAGGTTTATTTCTTGTTGTCCCTTACAGTGACTATAACGAGAACGCACCTGTTCTTATTGGCACACACATTTTGCATGTGCTTATGGTCATGGGAACAGATGTTTACAGCGTGCTTATCTATTTAGCCCCTGGTACCTAGCCTTCAGATGTCTTGTACTTAGGGAGAAGGAGTTAGTCAAGCGCCAGAATAGGTCAGCTGTAGTGAAGAGTGCTGAGTTCAGGAGATTTATCATCCCACCTAATAGTGAAGTAAAGATTCATGGATATCTGGATAAACCTCTTGATTATCACTCCACTTGTGTTGCACTGCAAGCTACTAAGACTTCCACAATACCAGATGACCTAGGCAATGCCCCAAGTCTAGTCTCCTACAACAGTTTAGTGAAGTGTATACTGACCATGCAGTATTTAAGTAGATAACATATTGTATAGATGTATTACCATACAGTTTAGATTGACTCAAAACTTGACTACTTGCTACTACTACTACTACTACTACTACTACTACTACTACCACTGCCACTACCACTATTGCTGCTGTTCCTACCTTTACTAGTACTTCTACCATTGCTGCTACAACTACTACTACTTCCACCACTGCTACCACAAGCTACAATTCCTTCTGCTGCTGCTGCTACTACTACTACTACTACTACTACTACTACTACTTCTACCACTTCTACTACTATTGCAACTTGAAGTACAACTTGAGTAATTGTTAATTATGAGTATACTAAATGTAATTCATAACCCGGAAGAAACCCTCAGGCCACAGGTTTAAATGAGCTCTGCCCCACACTGACGAGTAATAGAATGGTGGGAAACTAGTCAGTCCCCACTGGGACTTGCCTGATACTAATTAATCTCTCAAGGCATGGTTTGTTTGTTTGTATGTTTCAGAGTCCCCTTCTTGGAATCTGAAATGCATGCATCGAACAATCTAAATGAGCAGTTGAAGGATGGAAACTGACGACAACGTGCCACAAGATGGCGCTGTGGCTAGGCCTTCTACAGATACTGTAGCTGTCACAGAGGGAAGTCAGCAGCAGGGGAGACAACCCACTACAACATCAACACCAGATGGCGCTGTGGCTAGTCCTTCCACAGATACTGTAGCTGCCACAGAGGGAAGACAGCAGCAGGGGGGACAACCCCCTACAACATCGACACCAGATGGCGCTGTGGCTAGTCCTTCCACAGATACTGTAGCTGCCAAAGAGGGAAGACAGCAGCAGGGGGGACAACCCCCTACAACATCGACACCAGATGGCGCTGTGGCTAGGCCTTCCACAGATACTATAGCTGCCACAGAGGGAAGACAGCAGCAGGGGGGGCAACCCACTACAACATCAACACCAGATGGCGCTGTGGCTAGGCCTTCTACAGATACTGTAGCTGCCACAGAGGGAAGACAGCAGCAGGGGGGACAACCCACTACAACATCAACACTAGATGGCGCTGTGGCTAGGCGTTCCACAGATACTATAGCTGCCACAGAGGGAAGTCAGCAACAGGGGGCACAATCCATTTCAACAACCACCCACAACTACATAGGTGAGGCTGTATGCAGACTCTGTCTTAGTCTTCCTTTTTGAGGATACCAAAAGGGGGGGAGGTCATCTAGGCACCATAATTCACTGTGTAGAGTATAATCCCATGGTTGTTGGAGAACCCTATGTTTGTGAGTTCCAGTTCAAATTTTACAGAATCAGAACTGTATTTTGGGTTTCCCCAAAGTGGTAATCATCTAAGACTTGCATCATTTCCCTCATTTAGCTGACATCCGTAACTCACTCACTCACTCACTTCAGTGGAGAGCCAGCCACACATAGACAAAACCAGGAATCTGACTAGAAGATGTTTAATTTCAGTGGAATATATCCTAACTTCATTCCCTCTTCACTCCAGATTGTAAAGTTTCACATTTTGACGTGTCCAACTCTCCTGGCATGGCAGTCGGGGATAGCAAACACCAAGGCTGTATATCTCAAGGTAGGAATTGTCAGTCGTAGATTTATCAACAAATTTGTATATAGCCAGCAGGGCTTGCTCCTTTCAAAAGTTACTGGTCCTTTTCCAAATTACCTGTCCTACAACTAAATGATGGAGGCCGTAAAGCAGCCGAACCTGAGTTCACATAGCGACTGAGTTTCCCAGGAGGAGTCAGAAAGTTTTAGAACTCCTCACCCCTAAAACATATTTTCCTGCACTCTCAGATGTAAACTCCGCTTCCATTCGCCTCATTTAATGGCAAATTGTGACCAAATATTGGTGTTGTTGTTGTTGTACACGTCATTAGAGAATGGTGGCCGGTCTTTCTACCAAGATGATCTGGATATATCAATTTTTTCTTTTCCCCTATATATTTTCTCATCAACATTACATGAGTCACGAGCAGTGTCCAATTGAATAAAGTAAATATACAGAGAGAATAGATGAAATAATGACTGGCCAGACATGCCATCTAATGTACATGTCAGCAAGCCTAGGTAACTTTAACTGGCCATGGGCCAACGGGCCAGTAGTAAAATCGACCCCTGAAAGTAATGTAACCTTTTGTGTTTAAATGACCTGCTGTACTTCTGGGTTTTTGACCCTTGGTTGTTTGTTATTTGGAGTTATAGAATATATCTCCAGTACATAGATTTACATAACTAATGTTTAGAATTATGCTTGCAGCAAAATAATCCGAGTTTTAGCAAACACTGAATTACAATTTTACCGGTAGCCATTATGTTTGTTCTCATTGTTTCCAGGGTGTCTGAGTGTCAGGATCAACCAGCTCAGTGATATGTTTGTGGAAACCCATGCTCTTGACAAAGCACAAGAACTTCTGAAAAGACACAACCACGTGGCCATCTGCGGAGCCCCTGGAGACGGGAAAACTACTGCAGCTCTCAGAATCTGTGAAGCATATATGAAGAAAAAATATCAAGTATTGTTTGTTGAAAGTATTGAAGAGTTTGACAGTGATGTTGTCATTGAACGAAAATGTGACATGCTGGTTGTGTTTGATGATGTGTTTGGTTCTGTTACATTTCCAAGCAGCTTGGAGAAGATACACAGAGTATTCAATACCTTGGTTGATGTTTTACTGCGCTTTGCAAGAGACAAGGAACTGACAGCCAAAGAAAAACAAACCAAGAAGAAACATGACAAAAGTATGAAGAAGGAAGATGAGAAGCAATGTGAAGATGAAAAGACACCAGTGTGTAACTACAAGCTTCGCTTTATATTCACATCGAGAAGCTACAACTGGAATGAAGGATGTGCAAGACTGCATCAGTTCAAAGTTAATCTGTTTAAGCGGGAAGCCATTGTTGATATGATCAAGACCTGTTTAACCAGTGACGAAAAGAAACGTATCATGGCATTGTTCAGAAGCCAAATGTGCGATATCTCAAGTAAGGATATGAAAACCATTACTCAGTTAAAAGACAGCATGTTTGGATATCCGTTGATGTGTAAGCTGTACTTCACCAACTCAGGGTTACAGATGCACAGTATTGTGGACTTTTTCCTGAAACCATTGACCTACCTGAGATGTGACCTTGACACCATTGTTCGTGAAGGCAGCAGTAGATCGGCAGCTCTGGTTCTCCTCGTCCTGTGTGGAGGGAAGTTGGACCTTGTTTCCTTGATGATGGGGACAGACGAGAAGGTCAGAAATCTGCTCCACATTGTAAAGGAGAAGGTAGCATCATGCACTGATGCAGACATCAGCAGAGAGATCAGCAACTTTAACGGCACCTACTGCATAGTGGAAAATCATCTAGCCTCCTTCTCACATCCATCCATCCACGATGCAGCATCTTGTGCCCTGGGCAATCTCAACATTGTGTTATTAGTAAAGCATTGTTCTCTGCAGTTTTTATACGAAAGAGTTCGACTGAGCAAGACTGATTCTCTGCAGACAACCCAAACTGATGATGTTACAAACATGATCCAGATCACTTCCCATCTTAACCCATTACTGATCAGCAGGCTGGTGGAGGGTATCCGGGAAGGATGCTTTAGATGGACAGTAGGCCACCCTGTATTCAGAAACGATGAATTCGCATTATTACTGATGACGAAACTGGCCAATGACTTGCCTCATATAGTTCACCAAAAGGACAGGACATCTGGTGAATGTTTTCTACATTGGGTTTCCCTGTCAAATAATGATTTGTTGTTCAAAAGGTCACTCTTACTAATAAGTAAGAATGGAAATCTTTCACATGAAAGTGTGATAGACCTGAATGACAGTGCCATAGGTTGCGTGAAGGCTGGCATTGTGAGGAACCTGCAACACATTGTTGTGGTGCTAAAGAAGCATGGGGAATTTGATGTAGACAGAAAGATTCAGACAAACAAAACACAGCTCATCATTGCTGCAGAGGCTGGACACTTGGATGTGTTCAACTTTCTATTGCAAGAAGGAGCAAATGTTTCAATGAGGGACAGGGAAGGAAACAACTGCCTTCATCATGCATGTCAATGTGGAAACAAAGATATTGTCGAAGTTGTTGTTGAGAAGTTTCCAGGTATGACTGATGATCCTGATAGACTGGGAAACACATCTGCAATGTTGTGTGTGATGTCAGGACACGAAGAGATCCTGAAGGTCCTGGTGTCACACGGTGCTGATCTGAAAGGGCGAGGTTATAGGTATTTACATATGGCATGTGCAAGAGGTCATATATCAATCGTCAGATATTTGTTGTCTTATGAAGATATCAACATTAATGAAAGAACAATACATGAAGAGACACCAGTCATGATGGCAGCTGAAGCCGGACACTCTGATGTTTATGACCATCTTGTGTCAGAGGGAGCTGATCTGTCATTTACTGATGACAGTGACAGAGACTGTCTGATGTTGGCATGTAAGGGAGGTAACATGTCTATAGTTAAGCAACTCCTGTCCTTGAATACATTCAACATCAACAGGAAAGATAGGTTGAACCGTACACCAGTCATGTTGGCAGCTGAAGCCGGACACTCTGATGTTTATCACCTTCTTGTGTCAGAGGGAGCTGATCTCTCACTTACTGATTACATGGACGGAGACTGTCTGATGTTGGCATGTGAGGGAGGTAACATGTCTATAGTTAAGCACCTCCTGTCCTTGAAAACATTCAACATCAACAGGAGAGATAGTTCGGAGAGTACACCAGTCATGATGGCAGCTAAAGCCGGACATTCTGATGTTTATCACCTTCTTGTGTCAGAGGGAGCCGATCTGTCATTTACTGATTACATGGACGGAGACTGTCTGATGTTGGCGTGTGAGGGAGGTAACATGTCTATAGTTAAGCACCTCCTGTCCTTGAAAACATTCAACATCAACAGGAGAGATAGCTTTGAGAGTACACCTCTCATGATTGCAGCTGAAGCCGAACACTCTGATGTTTATCACCTTCTTGTGTCAGAGGGAGCTGATCTCTCACTTACTGATGACAGGGACAGAGACTGTCTGATGTTGGCATGTGGGAGAGGTGACATGTCTATAGTTAAGCACCTCCTGTCCTTGAAAACATTCAACATCAACAGGAGAGATAGCTTTGGGAGTACACCTCTCATGATTGCAGCTGAAGCCGGACACTCTGATGTTTATGACCTTCTTGTGTCAGAGGGAGCTGATCTCTCACTTACTGAAGACAGGGACAGAGACTGTCTGATGTTGGCATGTGGGAGAGTTGACATGTCTATAGTTAAGCACCTCCTGTCCTTGAAAACATTCAACATCAACAGGAGAGATAGCTTTGGGAGTACACCTCTCATGATGGCAGCTGAAGCCGGACACTCTGATGTTTATGACCTTCTTGTGTCAGAGGGAGCTGATCTCTCACTTACTGATGACTGATGACAGGGACAGAGACTGTCTGATGTTGGCATGTGAGAGAGGTGACTTGTCTATAGTTAAGCACCTCCTGTCCTTGAAAACATTCAACATCAACAGGAGAGATAGCTTTGGGAATACACCTCTCATGATTGCAGCTGAAGCCGAACACTCTGATGTTTATCACCTTCTTGTGTCAGAGGGAGCTGATCTACCTGTAATGGAGATCACCTACGTGTATAAAAGAACCTCTAAGCATTGAAAATGTTTGACATAAAGATGGGGAATTGAGAATGAAATGTCAGGTATGGTTGCAGAAAACCTACTGATCTGTATGTTCTCTAGACTTTAACCTTATATCTTTTAACTTATCCTGCATTACTACTTAATGCAATACCTGCTTACATTTGACAGAAGTGAAGCTGTGTGTGTGGTCCAGCCAAAGAGAAAAAGTTGTTCCAACCAACCTGATGCAGGACCAAAGCGCAGTACCCTGGTGGCCCCGGACGCGATGATGTCAAACAACTGCACATTACTGCTTGTCACAGGACAGACATGTTGCTTCAGTAAATCGTCCAGTGTGATCTTTTGTCTTTGGTGCCTTCTTGTTGTTCCAATCCACCATTTTGACTTTCTTTACGTGTTTTCGTGGCATATATCGCTCAGTGTGGCTTGGTATTGTTACATGTTAAATTCATTTAGGCTCAAATACCGTGTTTTACACTTTCTTATTGTACTGTTTAATCTATATTACACTTTGTGTTTATTCCATTAACTTGGATAATCTCGGATCATTCTGTCTTCAGGTTCAATTTATGATTGCTCATGGTATCAGTTGCCTTGGTAAAGAATCTTTAACACATCCTCACCCACATTGCCTTAAGTATGCGCATATTTGTACTATTGATTTGATGTGTGATTTTTGTACGCCCTTTCAAACTTTCACAGGTATCATGAGGTCTCATGTCTTGCTCAGCAGGCCCAGTGGCATTCCAGGAGATTGTCAGAAGGTGATCTGTTCTCAATATCTTGTATGGCCACCATTAGAGTCTAGAACTGACCGGCATCATCTTCCCATGGAAACAATCAGATCCCGAATTGTGGCCTGGGGAATGTTCACATGCAAATAAAAACCCAACGTGTTTATAGCCCAACAAGTGATGTTGCATGTGCATGTCATGCTGCTGTGTTTCGGCGATTGTGTTTGTTGTTTGTCGCCAGTCTGCAATATTCCAGCTGTACGATGGTGGCTTTATGGGGAAATCTGTCTCCACGCAGATCGTAGACATCTACCGTTTCCATGAATCCCATGATTATGAGTGTGGCGCTGTCAAATTAAGGATCACTATCTGAATAGAATTGTGTAATTGAATCATCCAAGCATGGATATTATCCCAAACTTGATTTTTAAATGATGCCCTTTGTGCCAACTGGCAATGAATTTGACTGCATTACAATACCATTTGTATCCAGAGGTTACACAATTTTGTTGAAAATTACAATAATTTAATAGGTACAGCAAAACCCTATTGTTATCCCCTGCCACAAAGTGCCATATTTCTTCACCAAACTTGGCACATAATGTCATCTCACAGCATTGAATACATTTCCTTTCTTGTTGGTAAGTTCTGGATTGCTTGAGTGTAGGTTACTCCAAAAGTGTCATGGACACAGTTGTTGCATTCACTGACTAATTTCATGCAGAAACACAACGCATTACAAATACAACAGTGTAATTGATCTTAAACCTAATCAACTGTATATATTCTTGTCAACCATACTCTGTACTTCACTTGCTTGATAACGGTGTTAGAACCTACACCGAAACCATCGCTCCTAATTGTAATAAAGAAGTTGTTCGTCCATATGTCTCATCCTTTATCATTACAAATATAGTTACATATTCTATCATAAACTGCCAGTAATAACTTTTCTTAGTGCTGCAATTAGGCCATTTACAAAAAGGCCCAGTGAACATAGTTCACAGGAGCTAATGCATTGCACACAACCGGACATGTCATATTGGTGGGGGATATGAGTATTTCATGCTTGTTTTGGATGCAACATTCACAAAAAACATATTTGTCTGTATCAATCAATACCTGGATTAACGAATTAGTGGTAATGAGTAAGGTATCCGTGCCCTACATGACAATGACAGCCATTAGGTATCCATGCCCCACATGACAATGGAAGTCATGAGTAAGGTATCCGTGCCCGACATGACAATGGAAGTCCTGAGGAAGGTATCCGTGCCCCACATGACAATGGAAGTCCTGAGTAAGGTATCCTTGCCCCACATGACAATGGAAGTCTTGAGTAAGGTATCCGTGCCCCACATGACAATAGAAGTCCTGAGTAAGGTATCCATGCCCCACATGACAATGGAAGTAATGAGTAAGGTATCCGTGCCCCACATGACAATGGAAGTAATGAGTAAGGTATCCGTGCCCCACATGACAATGGAAGTCATGAGTAAGGTATCCGTGCCCCACATGACAATGGAAGTCATGAGTAAGGTATCCGTGCCCCACATGACAATGGAAGTCATGAGTAAGGAATCCGTGCCCCACATGACAATGGAAGTCATGAGTAAGGTATCCTTGCCCCTCATGACAATGGAAGTCATGAGTAAGATATCTGTGCCCCACATGACAATAGAAGTCATGAGTAAGGTATCCGTGCCCCACATGACAATGAAAGTCATGATTAAGGTATCCGTGCCCCACATGACAATGGAAGTCATGAGTAAGATATCCGTGCCCCACATGACAATGGAAGTCATGAGTAAGGTATCCGTGCCCCACATGACAATGGAAGTCATGAGTAAGGTATCCGTGCCCCACATGACAATGGAAGTCATGAGTAAGGTATCCATGCCCCACATGACAATGAAAGTCATGAGTAAGGTATCCGTGCCCCACATGACAATGGAAGTCATGAGTTAGGTATCCGTGCCCCACATGACAATGGAAGTCATGAGTAAGGTATCCGTGCCCCACATGACAATGGAAGTCATGAGTTAGGTATCCGTGCCCCACATGACAATGGAAGTCATGAGTAAGGTATCCGTGCCCCACATGACAATGAAAGTCATGAGTAAGGTATCCGTGCCCCACATGACAATGGAAGTCATGAGTAAGGTATCCTTGCCCCACATGACAATGGAAGTCATGAGTAAGGTATCCTTGCCCCACATGACAATGGAAGTCATGAGTAAGATATCTGTGCCCCACATGACAATGGAAGTCATGAGTAAGGTATCCGTGCCCAACATGAGAATGGAAGTCATGAGTAAGGTATCCGTGCCCCACATGACAATGGAAGTCATGAGTAAGGTATCCGTGCCCCACATGACAATGGAAGTCATGAGTAAGGTATCCGTGCCCCACATGACAATGGAAGTAATGAGTAAGGTATCCGTGCCCCACATGACTAAAACTACATTCGGTGTGATATCCATTTCGATGGTATACCAAGAGATTAACAATACGTTGTTACTCTGTCTGGCGCTCGGCATTAAGGGGCTAAAACAAGGACTGGTCCGCTCGGAGTCAGTATACTGTGTCTGAGTGGGGTATTCATGTTAAACTGCGGCATGGTATCTCAGTGTGCTAGCACTATAAATCGGCATCAGTCTGGACTAGTACAAGCAACCACATACACGTGCATGCACGTCGCTATATAAGCGGGTGGGAGTGGAGGTCGTGTAGATGGATTCTAAATATATAATTTAGGGTTGTTTTATATATTGTGAACAGATATACTTGGTATAATTAATTATTTGTGTGAGTATTTGGTTTCTAAGATACCCCTAAACAAACACCTCTGTTGAACGAACTTTGAATATCAAAACTTGTTTGTTGTTAAACTAAGCAATATTCCGCCTATATGACGGCTGCTCGTATATAATCGAGACATCACCAGGTGAACCAGTAATTAATATTGTAAGCAACGATCCACGCGGTCGAGGTACGATGGCACGGGTCAACCAAGTTACAAACAAGTGTGACCAACCCATCCATTAAGCCACCTCGTATGACAAGCATTGCGCTACTTGGGAATCCTCACGGGGTTTGAATATCAACATAGTCTCACTATGTTGCTGGTATGTGTTCAGAAATACTTCAATACATCTCTTAGACATGGTGGATATGGCATTCCTTCATAAATTTATTGTAATTAATTCAAATAAAATGTGTGTTCTATTTGTGAACGCTGTCCATGATATGCATGGACAGATTCAATCATGAAATAAATTCACCCGTGAAGATCCAGGGTAGAATAGGTCTTCAGCAACTCATTCTTGTCGTAAAAGGCGACTAACGGGATGAGGTGGTCGGGCTCGCTGGTTGAGTGATGTCATCGTATCCCAATTGCGTGGATCGATGCTCATGATGTCAATCACTGGATTGTCTGGTCCAGACTCGATTATTTACAGACCGCCTTCATATAGATGGAATGTTGCTGAGTGCAGCGTTAAACAACAAATATACAAACAAACAAACATGAAATAAATTAGGTTTAAAAATGTCGTTTCAAGCATTGAAAGGGCAATGTCAAATTGGCTACCTTAACTGAATATGTCAGAGAAATTCATCGCTGAAAATACTTAAAACACCTTCCTCTTGTCAGTTTTCCTCAACTAATTTTAATATCTCATTTAAAAGCAGAGACCATAAAATAGATGGTCTTTGTTAAAAAATAATAATTTACAAATAAAAGATGAACAGCTGAGAATGAATGAGTTGAATGGTTTGCCAAATATACTTTTGTACAAAAGATTATACGAGTATTTATATCAGAGAGGTCAATACTTTTACAACAGGAATAAGCGAGCGCTGCTATACCGCCAACCATCAATTTTACAAAACGATGTGGTAAGAATAAGAGTTATCGTTCTTGTTTGAAGTCAGTTGGGTGGCTTTCCATTCGTGACCAACTCGTGTTATTCCGGGACAAGCCGAATAGCGTCTTCTTGCAGGTCACGGAAAGGGGCGAGTGATGATGATTGGTTGGGTGGGGGACGAATCTTCATTCGGCTTGTCCCGGAATAACACGAGTTGGTCACGAATGGAATGAACAGAAAGTAGGATTTACCTGTTACGTGGGCAGGCCAGAGGCATTCCATCTGCTCGTTCTTCACGTTTTACCAGGTAAACAATACAAATAGTGCTGATTTTTGCACAAACAACCTTCATTTACTCACTTTTCTGTTTAGTAAATACAGACACAAATTGAAATAAAATCTCTACAAAAGGATATTGAAGGATTCACACTTAGAAACAGGCCATGCCACTCTTCATTCTTAGACATAAGGATTCTATTTGACAATCTAAAAAACAAAAACACAGTTCACACTGATTTTAGATATAACCAAAGATGAATATAGATATACGCCTTTGCTATAACAATACTACAACACTACTGCTACTAAAACTACTACTACTACTACTACCACTACTACTATTACTACTACTACCACACTACTGATACTGATACTACTACACACAATTACTACTACTACTACTGCTGCTACTACTACTACTACTACTACTGCTGCTGCTTCTACTATTAACACTGCAACTACTACTACTACTACTATTCCTGCTACTGCTACTGTTCCTATTACTACTACTGTTGCTGCTGACACTACTACTGCTACTGTTGCTACTGCTACTACTACTATGACTACTGGTACCACTGTCATTACCAGTACTACTATTGCTTCTGCTACTACTACTACTACTACTACTACCACCACCACCAATACAACTACTACTACTACTACCACTACCACTACTACTATTCCTGCTGTTGCTACTAGTACTAGTACTACTACTGATTCTACTACTACTAATACTACTACTACTACTACTACCATTGTCACTACCACTACTACTATTGCTGCTGCTGCTGCTACTACTGCTACTACAGCTACTACAACTACTGCTACTACTACTACTACTACTACTACTACTACTACTACTACTATTCCTGCTGCTATTACTACTACTGTCACTACCACTACTACTATTGCTGCTGCTACTACTACTACTACTCCTACTACTACTACTGTCACTACTACTACTACTATTGCTGCTGTTGCTAGTACTACTACCACTGTCAGTACCACTACTAGTATTGCTCCTACAACAACTTCTACTACTACTACTACTATTGCTGCTACTACTACTACTACTATTGCTGCTGTTACTACTACTACTACTGCTGCTACTACTACTACTGTCACTACCACTACTTCTATTGCTGTTACTACTACTACTGCTACTACTACTACTGCTGCTGCTACTACTACTACTACTACTACTAATACTACTACTATTGCTGCTGTTGCTGCTAGTACTAGTATTACTACCACTGATGCTACTACTACTATAACTACTACTATTGCTGATGCTACTACCACCACTGCTGTTACTACTTCTACTACTATCACTGCCACTACTAGTACTAGTGATATTGCCACTGCACTGCTACCACTACTACTATTGCTGCTGTTACTACTACTACTACTTCTACTACTACTACTCCTACTACTACTACTTTCACTACCACTACTACTATTGCTGCTGTTGCTACTACTACTACCACTGTCAGTACCACTACTAGTATTGCGGCTGCCGCTACTGCTACTACTACTACTACTACTACTACTGCTACTACTTCTGCTGCTACTACTTCTTCTACTACTACCACTGATGTTACTATAACTACTGCTACTATTGCTGCTGCTACTGCTACTACTACTATTGCTGCTGCTGCTACTACTATTACTATTGCTGCTGCTACTACTACTAGAACCACTACTACTAGCACTACTACTGCCAGTGTCACTACCACTACTGCTATTGCTGCTGCAACTATGATTCCTACTACTACTATTGCTGCTGTTACTGGTACTACTACTGATGCTACTACTACTACTACTACTTCTGATGCTACTACTACTGCTACAACTACTACTACTACTATTGCTGCTGTTGCTGCTAGGACTACTACTTCTACCACTGATGCTACTACAAGTACTACTATTGCTGATGCTACTTAAACCACTGCTGTTACTATAACTACTACTTCTTCTACTACCACTGCCACTACTACTACTAGTTATACTGCCTCTGCTACTACTACTACTACTACTAGCACTACTGCTGCCACAACTGTCACTACCACTACTACTATTGCTGCTGCTTCTACTACTACTATTACTACTACTACTACTACTACTACTACTACTACTACTACTACTACTACCACTGTCACTACCAGTACTACTATTGCTGCTGGTGCTACTACTACTATTACTACTACTACTGATGCTACTGCTAGTACTAATATTGCTGCTACTACTACTACTGCTACTACTACTACTACTTCTACTACTACCACTGTCACTGTCACTACCACTACTACTTTTGCTGCTACTACTACTACTACCACCACTACCACTACTGCTACTACTGCTGCTGCTACTACTACTACTAGAACTATTGCTTCTACTACTGCTCCTACTGCTACTACTACTATTGCTGCTGCTACTACTACTACTGCTGCTACTACTACTACTACTACTACTGCCACTACCCCTGCTACTGTTGCTGCTACTACTACTATTACTACTACCACTTCTGTTAGTATAACTACTACTACTATTTCTACTACTACCACTACTACTACTACTACTACTGACACTGCTACTGCTACTACCACCACTACCTCTACCACTACTACCAATACTACTGTTGCTGCTACTACTACTACTACTACTACTACTGCTACTACTACTATTTCTACTACTACCACTACTACTACTACTACTACTGACACTGCTACTGCTACTACCACCACTACCTCTACCACTAGTACCAATACTACTGTTGCTGCTACTACTACCACTACCACTACTGCTACTACTACTACTACTACTACTACTACCACTACCACTACTGCTACCACTACTGCTACTACTACTACCACTACCACTACTGCTACTACTACTACTACTACTACTACTACTACTACTACTACCACTACTACTACTACTACTACCACTGCTGTTACTATAACTACTACTACTATTTCTACTACTACCACTACTACTACAACTACTACTGACACTGCTACTGCTTCTACCACCACTACCTCTACCACTACTACCACTACTACTTTTGCTGCTACTAATACCACTACCACTACTACTACCACTACTACTACTACTACTACCACTACTGTTACTATAACTAATTCCAGGATAAGCTACATTCGTAGGACAACATCAAGCAAGCCATCAGGAGATCACTTAAGGGACCTGCTGCCAGAGTGTTATTTAGGTTAGGCCCACATGTTGATGGAATCTCTATTTTAGCCAAGATGGACAGCGTCTTTGGCGATGTGGATGCGACGGAGACACTCTTAGCCAAGTTCTATTCTGCCAAACAGACCGAGACTGAGTCAGTAGCTACCTGGGCCGTGCTTCTGGATGATCTTTTGGGACAGGCCATAGATACAGGAGAAGTGGAATCTCACAAGTAAGACCGGATGCTTAGATCCTTGCTATGGACAGGACTTTTGCCTAACTTAAAGGACATTTCCGGCCACAAGTACGACCAGAGCCTCACCTTCAGTGATCTTCCAATCAGCCTCAGAAAAGTAGAACAGGAATTAAAGACACGTGAAGAGCCCCTGTCTACTACTCTTACTTCCACTGTTACTAAGAAGAATCCTATTCCTGGTATGGCGGCTGTCTCCAAGGAAAACAAGGAATTGGCAGAGGTCAAGGGGATGATCAGAAAACTTTCAGGTAAAATGGCTGAGAAGAAGTACGACAACCCTCTCAAGCACAGACACAACCCTCAGTTGAATTCGAGGTGCATGGTATCCACCTTTTCGGGCAGTCCATGAGATGCCATGGCAACCTCAGAGTCCTCGAGCTCGGTTTTCATCCCCTGCTTCTATTCAGGCTCAGAACAATGCAGCAAGCCTTTCACCCAAGGACAGTTCGGCCAAGGTAGGATGGACAACTGATGCATATGGACAGCCTACTCCCATCTGCTACCACTGTGGACAACCTGGACACGTCAGCTACAAGTGTACAGTTAGGATGGACCACAGCTGGAACCCGGTAAACTTAGGAGGATCCTTAATGTGGGACAAGTTATGGATTTCAGTGTACAGGGTCCCAAAGATGATGATATAACTGGCCTTGTGGGTACTGCATCAGAAGTGGAAGTTGCCGTTTATGGGGTGAACACTAAAGCCCTACTGGATACCGGAGCTACAGTATCAACCATGAGCGAGTCCTTCCATCGAGATCACCTGTCCCACATCCCCATACAGCCACTTAAAGATATCCTGCATGTAGAGTGTGCTGATGGTAAGCCACTACCATATTCTGGAGATGTAGAGACACCACTTAGGAAACCGGTATGTCTACAGCTGACCAGCAAGGTTTATTTCTTGTTGTTCCTGACAGTGACAACAACGAGAACGCACCTGTTCTTATTGGCACACACATTTTGCATGTGCTTATGGTCATGGGAACAGATGTTTACAGCGTGCTAATCTATTTAGTCTGTGGTACCTTGCCTTCAGATGTCTTGTACTTAGGGAGAAGGAGTTAGTCAAGCGCCAGAATAGGTCAGCTGTAGTGAAGAGCGCCGAGTTCAAGAGATGTATCATCCCACCTAATAGTGAAGTAAAGATTCATGGATATCTGGATAAACCTCTTGATTATCACTCCACTTGTGCTGTACTGCAGGCTAATAAGACTTCCACAATACCAGACGACCTAGACATTGCCCCAAGTCTAGTCTCCTACAACAGTAAACAGAAGATGGGAGTTGATGTTTACATCTGTAATGTCACCACCAGGACCGTTTCTATACCACCCAATGCAATACTTTGTCAAGTACAGCCAGTGACCATTGAAGACATACCCAGACACCTGCCACTAGTGATGGACCAGTGATTGAGAAGATGGACTTTGAAGAAGCGGCTGTGACTCCTGATGAACTGGCCAGAGGCAAAGATGTTATCAGACAGCACTACTACTACTACTACTACTACTACTACTACTACTACTACTACTACTACTACTAGCACAACTTCTACCACTACTACTATTGCTGCCACTAGTGATGGACCAGTGATTGAGAAGATGGACTTTGAAGAAGCGGCTGTGACTCCTGATGAACTGGCCAGAGGCAAAGATGTTATCAGACAGCACTTGGACATCTTCTCAACTGGGGATACAGATGTTGGTTACACTGACAGGGTGGTACATAGGATGAAACTGACTGATGAGTGCCATACCGCATTCATACAGTTTTAGGTTTTGAAAATGTTTAAGTAATAATTTAGTTTAGTAAAGTGTACACTGACCATGCAGTATTTAAGTAGATAACATATTGTACAGATGTATTACAATACAGTTTAGATTGACTCAAAACTTGACTACTTGCTACTACTACTACTACTACTACTACTACAACTACTACTACTACTACTCCTACTACTACTACCACTGCCACTACCACTATTGCTGCTGTTCCTAGCTTTACTAGTACTTCTTCTATTGCTGCTACAACTACTACAACTTCCACTACTGCTACCACAAGCTACAATTCCTTCTGCTGCTACTACTACTACTACTACTACTACTACTACTACCACTACTATTACTATTGCAACTTGAAATACAACTTGGGTAATTGTTATTTATGAGTATACTAAATCAGAGACCATATAATAGAGTCTATTATATGGTCTCTGACTAAATGTAATTCATAACCCGGAAGAAACTATTCAGGCCACACGTTTAAATGAGCTCTGCCCCACACTGACGAGTAATACAATACTGGGGAACTATTCAGTCCCTACTAGGACTTGCCTGATACCAATTAATCGCCCAAGGCATTGATTGTTTATTTGTTTGTTTCAGAGTCCCCTTCTTGGAATCTGAAATGCATGAATCGAACAAACTAAATGAGCAGTTGAAGGATGGAAACTGACGACAACGTGCCACAAGATGGCGCTGTGGCTAGACGTTCCACAGATACTGTAGCTTCCACAGAGGGAAGTCAGCAGGGGGGACAACCCACTACAACATCAACACCAGATGGCGCTGTGGCTAGGCGTTCCACAGATACTGTAGCTGCCACAGAGGGAAGACAGAAGCAGGGGGGACAACCCACTACAACATCAACACCAGATGGCGCTGTGGCTAGGCCTTCCACAGATACTGTAGCTGCCACAGAGGGAAGACAGAAGCAGGGGGGACAACCCATTACAACATCAACACCAGATGGCGCTGTGGCTAGACCTTCCACAGATACTGTAGCTGCCACAGAGGGAAGTCAGCAGCAGGGGAGACAACCCACTACAACATCAACACAAGATGGCGCTGTGGCTAGGCCTTCTACAGATACTATAGCTGCCACAGAGGGAAGTCAGCAGCAGGGGGGACAACCCACTACAACATCAACACCAGATGGCGCTGTGGCTAGGCCGTCCACAGATACTGTAGCTGCCACAGAGGGAAGTCAGCAGCAGGGGAGACAACCCACTACAACATCAACACCAGATGGCGGTGTGGCTAGGCCTTCCACAGATACTGTAGCTGCCACAGAGGGAAGTCAGCAGCAGGGGGAACAACCCATTACAACATCAACACCAGATGGCGCTGTGGCTAGGCCTTCTACAGATACTATAGCTGCCACAGAGGGAAGTCAGCATCAGGGAGGACAACCCACTACAACATCAACACCAGATGGCGCTGTGGCTAGGCCTTCCACCGATACTGTAGCTGCTACAGAGGGAAGACAGCAGCAGGGGGGACAACCCACTACAACATCGACACCAGATGGCGCTGTGGCTAGGCCTTCTACAGATACTTTAGCTGCCACAGAGGGAAGTCACCATCAGGGAGGACAACCCACTACAACATCAACACCAGATGGCGCTGTGGCTAGGCCTTCCACAGATACTGTAGCTGCCACAGAGGGAGAACAGCAGCAGGGGGGACAACCCACTACAACATCAACACCAGATGGCGCTGTGGCTAGGCCCTCTACAGATACTGTAGCTGCCACAGAGGGAAGTCAGCATCAGGGAGGACAACCCACTACAACATCAACACAAGATGGCGCTGTGGCTAGGCCTTCTACAGATACTGTAGCTGCCACAGAGGGAAGACAACAGCAGGGGAGACAACCTACTACAACATCAACACCAGATGGCGCTGTGGCTAGGCCTTCTACAGATACTTTAGCTGCCACAGAGGGAAGTCAGCAGCAGGGGAGACAACCCACTACAACATCAACACCAGATAGCGCTGTGGCTAGGCCTTCCACAGACTACTACTACTACTACCACTACTATACAACTAATACTACTACTATACTACTACTACTACTACTACTACTACTACTACTACTACTACTACTACTACCACTGCCACTATTGCTGCTGTTGCTACTATTACTAGTACTACTGCTATTGCTGCTACAACAACTACCACTACCACTACTTCTACCCACTACAACATCATCACCAGATGGCGCTGTGGCTAGGCCTTCCACAGATACTGTAGCTGCCACAGAGGGAAGACAGCAGCAGGGGGGACAACCCACTACAACATCAACACAAGATGGCGCTGTGGCTAGGCCTTCTACAGATACTGTAGCTGCCACAGAGGGAAGACAGCAGCAGGGGGGACAACCCACTACAACATCAACACCAGATGGCGCTGTGGCTAGGCCTTCTACAGATACTGTAGCTGCCACAGAGGGAAGTCAGCAGCAGGGGAGACAACCCACTACAACATCAACACAAGATGGCGCTGTGGCTAGGCCTACAGATACTGTAGTTGCCACAGAGGGAAGTCAGCAGCAGGGGAGACAACCCACTACAACATCAACACCAGATGGCGCTGTGGCTAGACCTTCCACAGATACTGTAGCTGCCACAGAGGGAAGTCAGCAGGGGGCACAATCCAATTCAACAACCACCCACAACTACATAGGTGAGGCTGTATGCAGACTCTCTCTCTGACTTAGTTTTCCTTTTTGAGGATACCAAATGTGGGCGGGGTGGGGTGGGGTGGGGTGGGGTGGTGGTGTGTGTGTGTGTGTGTGGGGGGGGGGGCATCTTGGCACCATAATTCACTGTGTAGAGTATGAACCCTGTGATTGTGGGTTCCTGTTCAAATTTTACAGAATCAGAACTGTATTTTGGGTTTCCCAAAAGTGGTAATCATCATTTCCCTCATTTAGCTGACATCCGTAACTCACTCACTCACTCACTTCAGTGGAGATCCAGCCACACATAGACAAAACCAGGAATCTGACTAGAAGATGTTTAATTTCAGTGGAATATATCCTAACTTCATTCCCTCTTCACTCCAGATTGTAAAGTTTCACATTATGACGTGTCCAACTCTCCTGGCATGGCAGTCGGGGATAGCAAACACCAAGGCTGTATATCTCAAGGTAGGAATTGTCAGTCGTAAATTTATCAACAAATTTGTATATAGCCAGCAGGGCTTGCTCCTTTCAAAAGTTACTGACCCTTTTCCAAACTACCTGTCCTACAACTAAATGATGGAGGCCGTAAAGCAGCCGAACCTGAGTTCACATAGCGACTGAGTTTCCCAGGAGGACTCCGAAAGTTTTAGAACTCCTCACCCATAAACCATCTTTTCCTGCACTCTCAGATGTAAACTCCGCTTCCATTCGCCTCATTTCATGGCAAATTGTGACCAAATATTGGTGTTGTTGTTGTTGTTGTACACGTCATTACAGAATGGTGGCCGGTCTTTCTACCAAGATGATCTGGATATATCATTTTTTTCTTTCCCGAGTCACGAGCAGTGTCCAATTGAATAAAGTAAATATACAGAGAGAATGGATGAAATATTGACTAGCCAGACGTGCCATCTAATGTACACGTCAGCAAGCCTAGGTAACTTTAACTGGCCACGGGCCAACGGGCCAGTAGTAAAATCGACCCCTGAAAGTAATGTAACCTTTTGTGTTTAAATGACCTGCTGTACTTCTGGGTTTTTGACCCTTGGTTGTTTGTTATTTGGAGTTATAGAATATATCTCTAGTACATAGATTTACATAACTAATGTTTAGAATTATGCTTGCAGCAAAATAATCCGAGTTTTAGCAAACACTGAATTACAATTTTTATTTTTGAAAGAGAAAACGAACTATAATGTTCATATAGCCATTATGTTCGTTCTCATTGTTTCCAGGGTGTCTGAGTGTCAGGATCAACCAGCTCAGTTATATGTTTGTGGAAACCCATGCTCTTGACAAAGCACAAGAACTTCTGAAAAGACACAACCACGTGGCCATCTGTTGAGCCCCTGGAGACGGGAAAACTAGTGCAGCTCTCAGGATCTGTGAAGCATATATGAAGAAAAAGTATCAAGTATTGTTTGTTGAAAGTATTGAAGAGTTTGACAGTGATGTTGTCATTGAACGAAAATGTGACATGCTGGTTGTGTTTGACGATGTGTTTGGTTCTGTTACATTTCCAAGCAGCTTGGAGAAGATACACAGAGTATTCAATACCTTGGTTGATATTTTACTGCGCTTTGCAAGAGACAAGGAACTGACAGCCAAAGAAAAACAAACCAAGAAGAAACATGACAAAAGTATGAAGAAGGAAGATGAGAAGCAATGTGAAGATGAAAAGACACCAGTGTGTAACTACAAGCTTCGCTTTATATTCACATCCAGAAGCTACAACTGGAATGAAGGATGTGCAAGACTGCATCAGTTCAAAGTAAATCTGTTTAAGCCGGAAGCCATTGTTGATATGATCAAGACCTGTTTAACCAGTGACGAAAAGAAACGTATCATGGCATTGTTCAGGAGTAGTCAAATGTGCGATATCTCCAGTAAGGACATGAACACCATTACTCAGTTAAAAGACAGCATGTTTGGATATCCGTTGACGTGTAAGCTGTACTTCACCAACCCAGTGTTCCAGGTGCACAGTCTTGTGGACTTCTTCCTGAAACCATTGACCTACCTGAGATGTGACCTTGACACCATTGTTCGTGAAGGCAGCAGTAGATCGGCAGCTCTGGTTCTCCTCGTCCTGTGTGGAGGGAAGTTGGACCTTGTTTCCTTGATGATGGGGACAGACGAGAAGGTCAGAGATCTGCTCCATGTTGTAAAGGAGAAGGTAGCATCATGCACTGATGCAGACATCAGCAGAGAGATCAGCAACTTTACTGGCACCTACTGCATAGTGGAAAATCATCTAGCCTCCTTCTCACATCCATCAATCCACGATGCAGCATCTTGTGCACTGGGCAATCTCAACATTGTGTTATTAGTAAAGCATTGTTCTCTGCAGTTTTTATACGAAAAAGTTCGACTGAGCAAGACTGATTCTCTGCAGACAACCCAAACTGATGATGTTACAAACATGATCCAGATCACTTCCCATCTTTACCCATTACTGATCAGCAGGCTGGTGGGGGGTATCCGGGAAGGATGCTTTAGATGGACAGTAGGCCACCCTGTATTCAGAAACGATCATTTAGCATCCTCACTGATGACGGAACTGGCCAATGACTTGCCTCATATAGTTCACCAAAAGGACAAGACATCTGGTGAATGTTTTCTATATTGGGTTTCCCTGTCAAATAATGATTTGTTGTTCCAAAGGTCACTCATACTAATAAGTAAGAATGGAAATCTTTCACATGAAATTGTGATAGACCTGAATGACAGTGCCATAGGTTGCGTGAAGGCTGGCATTGTGAGGAACCTGCAACACATTGTTGTGGTGCTAAAGAAGCATGGGGAATTTGATGTAGACAGAAGGATGCAGACAAACAAAACACAGCTCATCATTGCTGCAGAGGCTGGACACTTGGATGTGTTCAACTTTCTATTGCAAGAAGGAGCAAATGTTTCAATGAGGGACAGGGAAGGAAACAACTGCCTTCATCATGCATGTCAATCTGGAAACAAAGATATTGTCGAAGTTGTTGTTGAGAAGTTTCCAGATATGACTGATGATCCTGATGGACTGGGAAACACATCTGCAATGTTGTGTGTGATGTCAGGACACGAAGAGATCCTCAAGGTCCTG